GCAGGAACAAGTGACAGGACTTCAGGCCCACCAGCCCCATGTCCACCAGCCATCCTCATGTTTGTGTCACTCTATCAGTTAAACACAACTAACGTTTTTTGCCAAGCATCTAGTGACGCCAGTATGGAGCCGAGAGAGACATGTTGCCCCAGATGGCTGCCGGCATTCAGAATCCCCAGGAATTTCATCTTAAAAAATACTTAGGAAAAATATTTACGTATTGCTACCACAGTCAGTAATAACAGTCAAATCCTTCCTCTCCCCAATATCCCACTCCAACGAGATGGTTTATATATCGCCTCAATGCTATTTTATATCTTACGGTCAAATGCATTAAAATTCCTGTATTTTCCATGCAAGGAAACACACTTACTGATATGCTGGTTTATATTCCTGGCCACAGTCAGTCCAAGGACTGTGAAAAAGCGTATCAGTACCTGTTAACTCAGGCTTGCAGCAATATTGGGTTTTTTCTTTCCCAAAGGAAAAAAGCCACAATTGATTTCAGGAGAGCGTGATGGGTTAGCTGCAGCTGGGGTGGCGGAACTGTATTGATCCCGTATTTGCACTTCTCTTTCTACGAGTCAGGACCAGCAGGCTGTCGGTAAAGCAAACCCGGGGCAGCATCTGCTGCGCTCTTTGTCCACCCCCCAGCAGATGCCATCACCCTCAGCAGCAAAGGCTGTTTGTTTAAGCTATAAAGACACGGTCTGAGGTTTTAGGGTCTTCCCAGCCCAAATCTTGTGCCCGGTCATGTGTGGAAATGCGCGGTGCTGCTCGCTGGCACAGCCCTCGCTGCTGCCTGCATGGAGGAGGACCGCGGGCACTGGTGGGACTGGGCGGGCAGCTGGAAGCTGCTCTGAGTGCCGGCTGCGTACGTGGAGGTGGGAAGTCTCCAGCCTTATCCAAACCTGCTACAGCACGCTTTCCTGGGGAAAGCTCTTAACGAGCTGGGGTGTTAAGAAATAACCAACAATTACATCTCCAAGTAACTACACTTAACTTCAGAGCCAGAAATAAAACCTAGATTTTTTTTTTTTTTTTTTTCCTTGAAGCATAAGAGTTTCCCTCCCTCTGCTCAGAGCAGCTCTCTGGATACCAGGCTGCTCTGTGCAGGGGCCTCTTCCCCTCGGAACGCACATTTTTTCACGGCAGCGAAGCCCTGAACGCAGTCAGGACCCCGCGGCTCCACAATAACCCTCCTGTTCCACACTTCCAGGCTCACAGTCGTCCAGGAGGTTTTTTTTAAACCTGCCTGGAGCCGGCACAGAAGAGCCATTGTGAAACCCCCGTGGTGCCGCTGCGATTGCTTACAGAGAAACTTCACCTTAAAGCTGGAGGCGAGGGAGCCGGCGAACACACGGCTACTGTTCTCCTGCAAGCCCTGAACAAATGTCATTCACTTGACTCTGCTGGCTGCTTTGAAATGAGAATGAATTCATTTAAATAAAAAGTTGCATTTATTCTGAGGTGCGGGGCCCAGGTGCGTTGCTGTTCAGAAAGAAAAATCACTGAGCAAACTGTAATTTAAAAAAATCCAGACCCCCTCATCAAGCATCTGAATAACGACGACGCGTGAATCAGCTCTCCCGCGCTCATGGGGAGCAAGGCTTTGGTGAAACCAGCACACAGAGCAGCGAAAAAACCCAAATGTCTGTCTATTCTGGCTAGGATAGGATCCCAGAGTCTCTTCTAAACAACCCATCCTATCTCAAAATGGTGTGAGTTTGTGAACTGGAAGAGAAGCAGGGGCAGGAACAGGAGGGGCAGGGCGCGTGAATCCCGCTACGTGCCGGGGCGTCCGTCCTGGGCACGCAGCAGCCGCAGGGGAGGGACCGTGGCGCCCGGCGTGACAGCAGCTACGCCGTCCTGGGGGCCCCGTTACGCTCTGATTTCACGTCTCCCAAACAGGAATTAGTCTAATTATTGGTCTAATAATACGTGTCTCCTTACCCTGTCACCTAACTCTCCACGAATTCCAGTTGGACCGGGAAGGCCAGGCTCCCCACCGGCACCTTTGGGACCCTGTCAGGAAAACAAAAAAGAAAGCGCTACAGCTTAAAGCGTCAAGAAACCCTGCGTATCTTCTCATCCCCAAAGTTCACCAGGCTCCGTAACACGCTCAAAAAAGTCATTTGCCTCAGTCTCCCCGCTCCCTTCCCCGCCCAGGACCTGGGGACCGCATGCGGAGGGCTGGTACCGCTTGCGCCGGTCGGTACAGCTCATCGCAACTCCCGCCCCACCGCGCTTCGCACCCGAGCTCAGCCGCGCCGCCAAAGCGGCTCCGGCCTTCGGCTGGGCCAGGTCTGTCGCTAACAAAGATCTCATCTGCCACTCCTGACCGAGCGACGCTCCCAGCAGGCAGCACCCTACGCTGGTTTTCAGCCGCTGTCGCTGGGGAACGGAGAGCGGTTGCGAACGCTCCCTTGGAGAGCGGAGCAAGAAATAGCGGAGCCGGCAGCGCAGCAGAAGGGAAAAGGGGTGCACCAAAGACATACAGGCTGGGCGCAACAAGACCAAGGAGAAACTAAGGTGTCTTTACGTAGGTTGAACTCAAACCCTTCTTTTGCAAACAAATACTAAATTGTTCCAGCAGACAGCTTATCTGGCCTTGTGCTCTTTCTACGCTACTGCGTTAGTAAAGGCGTCAACCTGGTTCTGGCAAATGGAAAAACATTTCTTCCTATCACTTGTTGCCATCGTGCGCTTGTCTTGCCAAAGGTTCGCAGAGAAGCGGCCTGCCAAAACACAGTGCACATTCATTGCCCTTGTCAGCGTACCGACCTGGAAACCTCTGACTCCGGGGGCTCCCATCGGGCCCTGAAGACCAAGTGGGCCCTGAAAAGAGAAAGAGAAGCTTTGGTAAGGAGAAAATTCGGGGCCAAGGAAGTCCCTTGTGTAATTAAATGGGCTCTCTTCTAACGGACAGCGAGCGCGCGGTTCTGTACAGCAGAACGCTTTGCCCAGCGGCGCTGCTGATGAACCTGACGAGCCGCTGTAAAGCGGTGCTTGATGCTGACTGAGCTTTATTAATGTTCCTGGAATTATTAGCAAAAGCGCTTATTTGTATGTATTAATGCTTAATGACATACCATACTCATGAGTAGTAAAGATCAATGACGGCAAAAAGCGGTAGCATGATAAAGCATAGACAATATACATTACAGGGGAGTTGCTATCCCAATATTATGATTTGAATTGATCCAGTTCTACAAGAAACTACTGCAAAACATGTGCTACATGCACATGAAAAATGGCAATTACATCCACTTGCTTTGACACACGTTGTACCTGCAATACAGAAAAACGCAGTCTCTTGTGCTGTTAGTGCAGGTGCTTTTAAGAGCCCGGCTCACTAGACAGAACACGAACATTGCCATTAGGAGTCTCTATTGCTTTCTACCGAGAAAAATCACGTATGCGATAAAGATCTTGGGTGAAAAAAACCCTAAGTAATTTAGACATCTAAATCCCATTTTGTAAAGTGTCTTCTTGAAATAGAGGCCTTAGGCAAACTTCTGTCATAAGCTGGGATTTCAGCTTTTTCTCCTTTCGCAGCCGTCTCCGCTGCGTGTAGCGTTAAGGGACACAAATAAACTTCAAACCGGCTGCCGCAGGCAGGGGATCCGTCAGCACGGACTGTCCAGCGTAGCCAAGAAGCCAGCTGCCTACTGGATTGCAAGTGCAGGTGTGCCCTGTGTTAAAATGGCATCTGTATTTTTTCCTTAAGTATTTTTTCCCTAATTGTTAGCCCTACAAATTCTCCCTGGTATCTGAACTTCCGCCATCTCTCATTGTTCTGAGCCAGTCTCAATGCTAGATGAATCCTGCAGCTCTCATGGAACAGCCCAGGCGTAACTACATTTCATCTCAATTAGGACTCTAATAACACAAATCAGAAATCAGAAATCAGAAACCCAGGTTAGAAATAAACACGGGTTCATCTGCTATTGCATGCACGGCAGAAGTCTGCACCAATGCAATTAGCTCTACTGCATTTGATTTTTGGCTATAATAATATGATACCTTTTGTGGGGCCAGCTATTTTGATGAAAAATTGCAGACATAAAAGTAAACATGATTAATTTAGTTTATTTCTAAGGCTGATTTCCCTCTCCTTGGAATTTTAAAGAGCAGCTGCTTACAAACAATAAATCATCACACAGTTCAATTTTTTCCAAGTGGCACACACCAGAAATCATGTTAGACTTGCTGTAGGCTTCTGGATTTCAAGATGAGATTAAGCAGGGGGAAAAAAGAAAAGAAAAAAAGCCCAATAAACCCACTGGAAGGTCAGGTCCAACCACAATGGCAGCACTAGTTGGGGAGTGACAAAATAAAAGGTATCCTAGCATTTTTAGTCATGTGAACAAAATCGGGTTTTTCTCATCCTGATATCATTTATTATCTCTGCTTTTCAGCAGGGATGCAACGGGCAGCCATGCAGCTACTTTCAGGTTTGCATTGCAGCTCCTGCAGCTTTTTATTTCTCAGGCTCTGAGATGATGCAGGGAATGCAATGAAAGCAGGACAAGAAGCTCCCCTGAGGACCTCAGTGATTTCTAACCCAGAAGTTTCAAAAAGTTGTCAGTTCACAGAGTAAAAGTGAAAACTGGTAGAGCTGTGTATGGAGAGTTGTTTTTTTTTTTTCCTATGGGCTCACACCTCCAAGCTCCCAGCAAGATAATGCTGCTGCAGAACTGGGTGGGAGAAGGAAATGTGTGCACAGATTCTCCACCTGCCAACTGTTCCGGTGTTGCACCCACAGTATGGTTGTCAACTTTGGGGCATTTCCAAGCAGTTGGGAAAAGCACGCAACGATGTGCAAGAAAGGCAAGAGATTCCCAACAGGTCTGCAAACTTTTTAACGCTTTTCAAGCCCCCGTCTTGCACCGTGACAATGTGCAGGCTTTCCACTTTTGTTGCTTGTACGGCCTCGGGTTTTGCAGTGACCCTCTGCTGCTCCAAGGAAAGCGATACAGGAATGGGAAGGATTTCATGTTTCGTGTGCTGGTGGCGATGTACGTTGCAGTAGCTTAACAGGAGTTTTGCTTCATTAATGACTCTCGTTCAGCACAGCTGAACCTTATTATTACTGCCTAACCAGGGAATTACTGACTGCCCAGCTTCTCCTGCGCGACTGTAGCAGCTCCACAAACCTCCTGGACAACTGCGGCTTCCTTTGCCAAACGACATGGGATGAACCCCTTTGCATTTGCACGGAGCTGGCAGAGGGAGCAGGATCTGACCCGCTCATGGGGGAGTAATTCCTCTGCTGCCAAAACTGCCCAGAGACCAAGACCACGCTCTCTCTGCCAAGACAGAACGTGGCCTTTTATTTTATCCAGAGAATACGCCCAGGTAACGGACTCAATCTTGGCATCTATTTGATTCGCAAGCAGCGTTGTACTTACGGTTGCTCCTCTGGGTCCCGGCAGACCTCTCTCACCAGGAACACCAACATCGCCCTGGCAATAACACCAAAGTCAGCCGTGCCATTTAGGAAACACGAATCCACCCTTCCCAATCTGCAGAGCTGGAATGTATTCCTGAACCCCGGGCTATTTCAATCCCAAACTCCCTGTGCCACTGCCGTGAGCACTAGGTCACACCGCCTGCCTCGGTGGGCTTTGGCCTCTGCTGCAGCACAGCACCCGTGCCCGGAGGAGCCCGCCCGGCTCCCATCGCACCCACGCGTGGGGCTGCCCGGGAGCGCTCATCGCCGTGGGCTTGCACGTGGTGCAGGCAGCACAGCACCTACCGCGTTCCTAAAAGCTTTATTTGCGCGGGGAAGCGGCACGCGAGCTCCAGCGGCACAGCGTGGTTTAAAACACGCTCAGCAGAGCTCGTGTAAGTGTAAATGATGGGGCTACGTACAGGGACGCCTGGCTCTCCAGAGGGACCCGCCTCTCCCATCTCTCCAGGACTGCCCTGCAGAGAAGGCGAACACTCAGTTAGGGCATAACTTCAGGGAGTCATTTCTGTCCTAGCTAGAGCGACAAATGGAGGAGGGAGTTAAGACTTGCATCAGGAAATAAAAACAGCTTTAAACTTCTACAGTTTTAAGACCAAGACGACAAAACTCTCAACAACAGACATTCAGAGAACGGGCGCCGTACATCCTGTCCTGGGACCAGCGACTAGGGAGGGCTGCCAGCCCCAGGGCAGTGCCACCATATCCCACCGCGGACTGAAGTGGACCACTGAGACAGGGATGCTCTTCTGGAGGCGTGCTCAGGACACCCCATTCCATTCATTCCTGCATCACCCCTGCGCAAGGAGAAACGCCTACCTGCAGCGTGCTCTCCTGCCGGAGGACTAGCACGAATAGCGACGCATTGTAGAGAGGGAAATTCAGAAAGGACAGGCAGGGACAGAAAAAAAGACACTTTCCAGAACAGCTTTGTGCTGGACTGCTTTGGTCTGAGACTTTCTTTTATCTCGCAGGTAGGTGCCAATCTACAGCTCTGTGGCAGCTTTTCCCCTGGGGTGGGGGGAAAGTCTCCAAAAGGCAAGAGGAGATAATCCTGCTCCTGCTTGCAGATGCTCACAGCCTTTTGATTCCCAAAGATGAAGCCTGCTCTTGGGACTTTGACAAAATGTGAATGCTTCCTTCTGAGGCTTACTAAACCACTGACAGCTCTCCTGCGTATCTGCTAGATCTTCACTGAACCAGGTGTAAGAGCTGTCTCAGCAAGAGCAGGGCCATCTCAGTCATTATACAACATATATATCTGTATTTTATACATATATATT